CAAGATGCTGAAGCTATGGGCCAGGTTCTAGTTATTCGCCAAACTGCAGCGGACAGCGTTTGGCAGCAGATGACGGAAGAAGCCTTATCGGAAGCGTCAGAGAAGTGCAAGGAGAACCAAGGGTGTGCTCCTTGGGGGTGTCAATGGTTCGTTAAATGGAAGGCCAATGTGGACAAAGCGGTCGAGTGCAGGCAAAACCTCCACGTTTTCTTTTTTGAAAGCAAGGTGGGTTGTGGCAAGCTGGCATGGGAGGACAGGGCGAGAAACGCAAGAGCTTGCAGTCATTCTACGCAGCTTCGGGGATGCATTGCTAGAGACTCTGCTCTCCTCAGTATTGCTCAATCCATTCCGCCACTGCACAGATGCAGCCAGGTGCATTCGCAGGGTTTAGGGCTTAGGAGCCTCTTTTCACTTCGGTTTGAGCTTGAACGGAACCCTGAATCTGCATTTCGGGCTACTCTTGCAGTCTCCTCCTCCGCATGCTTGTGAGGAAGTTCACGGCATGACAATTTTGTTTTTTTTGGGGGGGCTGTTCTTTCCGAGAGCTCAAGGTCCACGTTCAGCTCCTTTTTGACATAAACTCTGGGTGGGGTCCTGGCTGCCAGCTGTTGGGATGAGTCTGGTTAGCATTCGGCCATGTGACGATCAAAGGCTTTGGTGCAACATCCGGTGCACCTGGAACCTTCCCAGAGACTCCACTATCCCTTAGTTAGGGAATATACCTTAAACTATAGTAGGATCCCTAATGTGATTTAAGGTATATTCCTTAATTAAGGGATATTGGAGTTTCTGGGTTAAACCTTGAACTCTGACCCTCCGCGTTTGGCCTCGACCCTCGGCGATGTGTGCCAACGTCGTTGGTGAATCAGATCCGTCCGTTCCATTTGTGAATAATACAAAAAATGCAGAGGTGCAAACAATTGTTTTCCATAAGGTTTTCTTAAAATCGCCGCTATATACCACAAAACCTGATGCGAGTTTCGCAGACATTCCTATCAAACAGGCAAGCATTGCTGCCACACACCCTAAACCCTAAACCCTAATGCGCGAAATGCGTCAGGCCTCTCCGCTTCCTCAGCGAAGTTTCTAGGACATTTTCAGGTGGGTAGTTACCGTTATAGGAGCCTGAAAAAAAAGGTCTATATTATAGAAGCCTTATAGAAGCCCTATATACCCTAAACTCCCCACCTGTAGTTGCCTTTAAAAGTTGATTGCCGGCTTGGCGACATGGCCTTCCCCAATGGAGTGTATCAGATGCAGCCGTTGTACAAGCTGGCCATCCTGACACTAAATAGCCACGCTCCTGGCCTTGCCGGCCTTGTTGCATTCCAATACATTGCCTTCAAGCGCTCTCTCAGCGAGGTCTCCCTCCAAGACGGCTCTGTGATGCTATGGTTTTCCATGCTCGCCATCGCGGCTTTCACTTGCAGCGCCGTGCTCGCGAGCGCATCGTTTATGCTCGCAGATTACTTGCGGCGGATAGCCATTGACAAAGCCATGTCACAAGGTTTCGGGCTCCAACTCCCTGCCAAAAGCATCAGGCAGAACCGCATCGGAGTTTCTACCGTGTTCTTGGCCTTTGTGAACTTGGCATTGCTGCTCGTGGAGCTTTGGCAGAGTGTGGTGTTTCAAAGGATGCCCTTGAAAGACGTGCCTTTAGAGGGTATCCAGCGCGTGGTGCCGCTGGGGCTGTACCTAGTGAGCCTGAGTGAACTTGTGCAGTCGCCACAAATGCAATGGCATGAATATCAGTGGCTCATGCGCAACGCGCGACCACTTCCGACTTACCTGCTGATGATGGAAAGAGAGGACAACGAGCAGGTTCAATGGTATCAGGCATGGATACGCCAGAAGATCCGCACAGTCCGTCCACCGTCAAGGGAAGAAGGCATCGAGCTCGCATCTCGCAACAGAACCGACGAGGTGAGCGCCTCAAGCCCAGCACTGGAGCCTGACGTGTCTGACAAGTTTTTCGGGGATCTGCCTTCGCTGGTAGAAAAAGTCCCTGCCCTCATCTCTCACCGCCGTGGTGCGCTGCCTTTACACCTGCTCGTGGTTCTCGGTTTTCTAGCATTTCTGGCATATCTCCCAGCCGCAACGCTCCAGATCTACAAGAGGCTTTTCATGCCGCAGATCAACAATTTCGAAGTTCATGGAGGCAACTTCTTCGAGGAGGATAAGGGCAAGGTGAACTACTGGATCGTGCCGGACGAGGGTCAAGATCAGGTGGTGGTAGGTTAATCAAGCACCCGGACCCCCGGGGGGATCTAAAAAGTAGATCCCCTAATCTGGGACCCTAACTACAAAAGGGTACCTTATAGGAGCCCCTTAAGGGATCTGCTTTTTGGATCCCCCCGAAAATCTGGGCAGAGTGCTGTGGTGTCCGCCATGGTATTTGAACGTTGTCCTCTGTTTTTGTGAGACATGGTTGTCTTTTGCTAGCTTTCCTGTCGAACCCCTTCCTTTTTTCCCATGTCCAAAGGCTTGACGGAAAGTCTCGACAACTCGCGTTTTGCTCACCAACGTTCCATAGCTTTCTCATGCGCCCCCATCGCCGCGAGGAGAGGTGTTGCAATACGGACAAAGAGCTGCTCCTCTCCGCATTATATTATATCATGTCATATCCTATTCTATACTCTATTCTATTATATTATATTTTATTATATTATACTACATTATGCAACTTTCCTCCCATCCAACCCCATCAGCACACCGAGCAGTTTGTTTTTGGTTGACCATGTCTTTGGGCTGGCAGAAACTTTCTCCTCCACTCATCACCATCACCGCAGCAAGGGACCCTTCAGAAGGATCGTGTTTGGAGTTTTCGCTGCCGAAGCTCAAGCCTTTGAGAAGCTTTGGGTAGTTCTCTAAACTAGGGTCCCTCTTTAGGTCCCCAATAAAATACGACACCCAGAAACAAAGGACCTTAACAGGGACCCTATTTTAGAAAACTACCCATGTGCATTCTGAGCCCGTCCCTTCAACACGGCCGACAGCCGGCCACCAGGTGGTGCTGCGCTTGACTGCGGACACATCAACGGCCAGCTCCTTTTATGTTTGCCCGGGCGACCGCTGTTCGGAGCCCCTGCACAGGAAAGCGACCATGCAGCTCAACTCCCAGCAGCTCACCATGCAGCTGTCGCGAGATAACTTCGGCATGCGGAGCTCCTTTAAGTTGCGTGGATTCTTTACTCGCACCGTCTACGTGGCCGTGGTTGATCTCGCGAAGGTTCAGATCACGCTTGGGACGATGAGCAAGAATGCTGTCGTGAGCGGCCAGCCGTCCGCGTTCAGGGGCAAATTTGCGAGTGAGAGTTTCCAAGGGGCCTTGGAGGCTGTGAGTTTTGATTTCACGGCCGACCGGCGTTTCTTTGACTTCGATCTGCGAACCTCGATACTCGCAACGAGGTCCGACCCCAGACGCGGAGATCCGGGCTGCAAAGCCTCTTCAGCTGACCAGATCACCTGTAAGATCTCGGATTTTCAGCAGTGGTGTTCGAAGGCCTGTAACCATTGCAACCCAAAGCCCGAAAGAACTAACCTTCCGGAAGCACCAATTCCCTAAGCATGGAAGGCCTGTGATCTCTCGGCGGAGTTGTCGATGAAGTTTGGCACAGAGCGGCTTGAGAAACCCCTGCGGCTGATCTTGGAGGTTCGGAACTCGGAGCTGTCTCCAGGTCTGCCAGTACTTACTTGGAGGTTCATGGGTAGTTAGACATGGAGTTATAAGTCCCCTAATATAGGCTATGACTATAGTTATCCTACTGATAACCCTACTTGTAACTACCCATGAACCTCCAAGTAGTATCCCTTGACTTTTTTTTGGGGAGTTTGCTGATTGAAAGTCAAGTTTTGTTTGAACATCCAGAGCCCACAACCCGGCCTGTAGACCCTAGATCCTGAAGCCTAAACCCCAACCCTAGACCTTACTTTTGAGGGGGGCTTATACTTGAAGGTTCATGGGCAGTTACAAGTTGGGTTAGAAGTAGGATAGCTGTTATTATAGCCCGTTACATCCTATATTAGGGGACTGATAACTCCACTTATAACTACCCAAGAACCTCCAAGTAAGGATGTTTTTTGAGGTGTCTGGAAACCCTAGGACCCAACACCCGGCCGTCCACCCTGGACCCTCGACCCTAAACCCTAAGCCCTAACCCTAGACCTTAGTTTTGAGGGCTTTTCCCTAAACCCTAAGCCCTAAACCCCTAAACCCTAAGCCCTAAACCCTAAACTCTAAGCCCTAAGCCCTAAACCCTAAACCCCTAAACCCTAAACCGGGAAAAACCCAAGGTTTCATCTCCAGGAGGTTGTGGACCTTCAGCGGAAGCTGGAGGTGACGCCAGAGGTGATGAGCCTTAGCAGCTGAATGGGTTTAGGGTTTAGGGGCTGAATGACTACACTTCTTGAGCCTTTTTGGGATAGTATGATCCCTTACAGAACTGAAAGTGGTACACTTTTTCTTGACTAAGGAGTCTCCGACGGGCAAGGAACTCCCTGCTTAGAGAGACCTACGATTTTTACAGGCGTCACCAGAGGAGAGAGGACTTGGGGCAGACGAACATCCTGTTGACTGGACTCACCGGGGCAGGCAAGTCGTCTGCATGTCGCTTCTTGACGATGAATGAGTCGTGCAGGTACTCCAACAGCTGGAGTTCTCACACGAAAAATGTCTCCGAGATTAGTGGCCACGCCTTCGGAGATGAGTTGCAACCTCGCTTGAACGTCTTCGACATTCCCGGCTTTGGTGACACGGAGGGCCCAGCCGTGGACGAGAGACAGTTCAGCGAAACCATCAACTACTTGGCTGATACAGGAGGGCTGGATGCCATTTTCTGGGTTGTCAACGGTGCCATTCGCCGCAAGCTGGGCATCTGCTGATACATGTTGCAACAGTACAGGAAAGCATTCGGCTCCCAATTTCTTGGGAAGCTGCACGTCATCGTAAATTTCGTTCCGTGGATGCCGTATGCCACTCAAGAGCAGCTAATGAGCAAGTGGATCGAGGAGTTCAGGGCCTTTCTGCTTGCGGAGGAGCAGGAGTTCATGCAGGACGCATGGAAGATGGTGGCAGACCGAGCAATGGGACTTATCAGTAGGAGCCTGAAGGTTCGCGTCGTGGACATGAACCCCATGTACTTAGAGGAGGAGCTCCCTGTCCCGCTATCTGCTCCCATGGTCCACCGCCTACCGCCGTATTCCACGCCCATGAACCTGGTGGAGTTGCTGGATGCAGTGCACGCAGTTGCCGATATCCGGAAATCTTCTGGCAAACGGCTTGTAGTGAATGCTGAATGCCCGATCCGTGGCTATGGAGAAGTGGACAAAAGCCGAACGAGCAGCGACACGCAAGCAATCCAGGATGGGCCCTTGTTGACAGTGAAGCTGGAGGGTGAATTCCTAGGCCTTGGGGACAGTCTTTTGGCCCAGTCCGCCCGCTTTGCGTGCGGTCATGCCCCAGCGGACTCCGACTCCGTGGTTATTTTGAACCAAAGCGCCAGCGAGACGTCGATCTTTGGGGTGCTGCTTCCTTACAGAGTCTCTGCGTGGCCAGGAGTCAGGCTCTGCTTTCGTGAGGCCCCGGGCGAGCCGGAGGGGCGCGCGGATGTGTTGCGACACTGCCAAGAAGCTGGGGTGCTTAAGCTGGAGCGTTCTGCCTGGCCCGATAACGAAGAGAATGAAGAGTATGGGCTCATTCAGACCTTGAATGAGGCAAAAGGAACGATCAACGCAGTGATCTTTGCTTCTGGTAACCTTCATCATGAGTACCTGGCAACTGCAGGTGACGACGGCAACTTGCGGGTGTACGAGAAGCTCTTCAAACAAGACTATGGACATTATTCGCTGCGTGCAGAAATAAGCGAGAAGGCAGGCATGGTCTCACTGGCAGTGTCGCCTGAGGCGAAGAATCTGGCGGTTAGCACTGCGGATGGCAAGATTTTGGTGTATCGCCGTTTCCATAGGAACTTGGAGTTGCGGGCAGTTCGAGACTCCACTTTTGTAACAGGGGTGGCGTGGTGTGGTGACACCCTGGCTGCTGGCAGCCGCACCGGAAGATTGGATATAATGAAGCTTGAAGAGGTTGATGGAAAAGACAGGCTGACCACGATGACCTCTCATTCCGGTATAACACAAGTTACGTCTCTTGCATGCTTTGAAACGGGGATTGCTACAGCGAGCACGGACTTGCATGTCCGTCTGTATTCGCACCCAAGGCGGCCGTCTTCGTTGGACACAATCGTCCCGCATGTGAAAGCTGTGGCTTTGTCAGCAAAGTACATGGCGTCTGGGAGTGCTGATGGGAGAGTGTGGTTGTTCCAGAGAAATTCGTACAACCAGAAGAGCCGCAATGATGCCCAGGAAGCTGTCCTCTCTGTGGCATTTTCTGATGAAAGGCTTGCCGCAGGGAGCGCAAACGCAAAAGTGTACGTGTACAAGGTGACTTGGTGTTCTTCTGGTTGGCTCTTAGGACTTTACCTTGTTGGGTTTCTATATGAACTTTAATAAGGAGGCTAAAAGTTTAACCTTTAGGAGGGGTTCAGAAGTCAGCCAAGGTGACTCATGGTCGTGACCTGAAGCTGATGTCAGTTCTCAGTCACTCCCTGCAACCCATCAGAGCAGTGTCCTGGTCTCGCGAAGGGGTGCTGGCTGTGGGGGGCAACGACACGAAGGTGCGGTTGTATGCGCTGAAAAAAGAGACGGTGGAAGGGACGGTGGGTTCAAGGCCTCAGGTTGTCTGTCCTTTGCGGTTTAGGGTTTAGGGTTTAGAGTTTGCTGGCCTGAATCCAATCTCCAAAGCCTTGCTTTCCCTAAAGAAGACTGAGATCTCAGCTTCAAAAAGGTCCACAGTGCACATAGGCAAGCGAGCACTTCCGGTTTGCAGTGGTTGTAGAGCCACTTCCTGCTCCCCGCAGCAGAGGAAGTAGGGACGGAAGGATACAGGTAGACAGCCCTAAACCCTAGATTCCAATCCCTCAACAGTACCGGAGAGTCACCAGGATTCGCTTTGAGGGGTTCATCCTTCATCGCACGTCTTCGTTCAGGTCTCAGGATCTCAGGTTTAGGGCTTGAGGGTTTAGGGTGTAGGGTTTAGGGTTTAAAACGAAACCCTCAACCCTAAACCCTAAAGACACCCTAAAACCTAAAACCCTAAACCCTAAACCTTAAAACCCCAAATTCCCACCCGGCCTGCTTGGGCCGTTCCCACCAATTTCTTGGGTGGTCAGACACTGAAGAAACACGTCAGCCTCTACACCCGCTCTGTGGGAGGAGCCTTTGGAGAGTGGACGAATAGAGCCCCTCCAAGCTCTTCCCGTACATCGCGAGGCACAACTCTGCCCCCAGCCACGTGTCTGGGCCCAAAAAGACGTCCAGGGCTTGGGCCTGGCCCGTCGCCTGGGCCCCCCTGAAGCCCCCCCCTGTAGCCTGCCTGACCCCCCTGCCTGGCTTGGCGTCTCTGCCTCCCAGGAGGCGTGGCATCTTGAGGTGGGAATTGAGGGCGCAGCCCTAAACCCTAACAGGAAGTAATTTAGGTGGTAGCCTGTGACTTCTCACAGCGGTGGGGAAAAACAAAAGAAATCCCAGTTGCGATGGATCCTTTAACGATATCATGAAGGGTCGCTGGGCGAAGGATCCGCCGCCACTGTTGTAGTATGTTGTTATACGTCGTTTGAGACCTGAGCATGTCACCTTGCGAGGATCTATCACACCCAGCAGTTTTGTCAGAGGCCAAAAGAGACAATGGGTTGGGAAATTCCTACCGGGCTGAGGTGGCTTACTGGGGTCGCTGCGATGTCGCCTACGAGGATTATGATGTGATGGAAATCTACGCATTTATGTCTCGACACATGAAGAAGAAAAAGGTTCCACGGATCGGGGTTACCAGTAAAAGGACCCGGGTTCTACGTAAAGCGTACCATAATCGCATCTGCTCATCTCTCCGACTATTAAAGCCCCAAACCTTAAACCCTACAAGTTCTTTGCGGTTGCAAACTACGGGCAGATGGGGATTTCGAGATTACGACCCAGGCCTCGCAGGACGCTTAGAAGCAGCTTCCCTCCCTTCGAACTTTAAGCTTTCAGTGTTTAGGGTTTAGAGTTTACTTTAGGTTTTAGGGTTCGGATACAAATTTCAGAAAATGCGCGTCCCTGATGCAAGCTTGACGGTGCTTAAAAGTAAATTCAACCCCCTTTGAATCCCATAACATCTATATAACACCCACCTTATACATCCCTAAACCCTACACCATAAACTCCCTATAAAACCCCATACACGACCCAATGATTCTGCGGATGAAAGGTCCCGCGGGAGCCCACTTGCCGGTATACGAGGTTGTTGGTCATCCGAAATAAGCCCGGTAGTATCCATAACCCACGAACTCACGACGCAGTTGACAGGGCTCTGGGAGAAGCCGCATACATCCCGAGTATAGAGCCCTTGATGATTCGAACATAGTTCCTCAGGGCTTCTTAACCTACTTAGTCATAACATACCACAAGACTCTTTGAGGGATAGGTCAAGGAACCCTTGAAGCAACCCCGGGGAGCTTCGCAGAACCCTTGAAAAGAGCCTCCCTCGTATGAGATCCCAGCATTGAAGGTCCGCATGATTGGGCAAAGATGCAAGCAGGAGCCTGAGGGAGTCTATTTACTAGGTTTCCCAGTAGTACCCTTTTTGCCCTTTTTTATGTGGGGGTCTCCTTTCTAAAGCCGAATATTAGGAAAAAAGGTACACTTTTTATCAAGGGGTTACAGAGGAACTTAGTTTACGAACAGCAGCTTAGGGTTTGGATTCTGGGTTTAGGGTTTTGGGGTCTAGGGCTTAGGGCTTTTAGAGTTTAGGGCATCAGCCGGGTTTTGGTGTAATGGAGTTTAGGCAGTATGGGCTTTCGGATGGTGTGTTTTTTTTTGAGGCGGCGGGGTGGGTTACGTAAAGGGTTCAGGGTTCAGGGCTTTCGGGGCCGTAATACGTAGAATGGCTTTGTATTGTATCCTCAGAGTGAGGCATTTTTCGGGCGTGCTAGAGTCTACCCATAGGCCCCTAAGTAGTTCTTTTTTGGGGTTGCCTTATAGGATTCTTTAAAAATAAACCATAAAAAGTAACTAGTTAGGGGCCTATGGGTAGCTGCATAAGCAACCCACGGACTCTGACTCTGCAGACCTCGGTCTGAGTCAATAGGTCCTAGATAACATTAGGGAGACTCCTTAAAGGGTACCCTTCTTAGCCCTACTTATGGCTCTCTTAAAAGGGACCTTACTGAGAGGGTCTATATCGCCAAGGGTCCCCTTCATCCTAGCTGCGATTAGGAAGCCGAGAGGCACTTACCAAATGAGGTTTCATAGCAATTCCCATAGCAAGGGCTGTGGCTGGTTTTAGGGTTTAGGGTTTAGGCTAGCAAGGACTGGAGCCCTAAACCCGTCAACCCTAAAACCCCAATGTCTTCAAAGCAGCTTTGAAGCCATGGGGCGACCAACCATCTAGCGTTGAGCGTCTAGGATTTAGGATTGACGTTTGTTGGGTTGATGGCCGTGAGGTGTCGGGCTTAGAGCCGTTTGAACTCACGGCAGTTTATGGTTCAGGACTAAAGGCCAACACCCGAAACCTCCACGCCTCTCAGCACGCGACAGTGGCCGCGGGGTCAACGTTTAGGGTTTCGATTTTATTTGTATTTTTTAGGGCGGCCCTGTGCGCTCTATGCGTGCGCGCTTTGGCGCCAACTCAATAGACGATTTCCGCAGCTCTCTGGAGATGAGCACATATTTGTGCTGGGGAGTTCTAGCTGCGGGGTGGTCCGGCTTCCAAAGTTGAGGATAATTCCTTTTAGTATTTTCGTACTTCTAACCAATATGGGAATTGCATGCCTCTACGTCTGCCTGTGTTAAGGATACATGATACGGTCTTTGCAGGGAGCAGCAAAGACTACAGTGTAGACAGGTGTGGTCTGTTCGCTGCTAAATACCCCTACCATGGTCTTGAGCTGTATGTTTTGCAGTATGGTAGAAGGCTTGACAGGTTGATGTGCTTTGAGATACACCTGTATTGGGGACTCTGGAATAGCACGAGGCCTTGATGCCTTAGTGTCGCGAGCTGTGCATCTTACCCACAGTGATGAAATCTGCTGGTAGCATCACTCGGGGCCGTTCGAAGAAGGTCGACATGTCGAAATGGAGCCCCAACATGGAGAGAGAGAGCCTTCCGTCGAGAGGACCCTCAATACCACGACGTTGACGAATTGGGACGGCAATCCTCAGCTGTTGAAACAAGTAATGCAGCATCTCAAGATCCAGGTCCCGTGCTTTCGCTCGGATGAGGAATTCCAGACGCTGAACACAGGGTCTGCGGTTGACGGAATCCCGATGGGGTGGTTTCCTTCGAGCGATCACCTTGACCATGCAGCGCTTCATGCGGCGCAGTTGACGGTTGAAGTCGGCCTGAACAGAAAGGATTCATCATACAAAGGGTTGGAGCAGTCATGTTGATGGACAAGTCGAATGGCGGCGTGCGCAATCGAATCTCTGTGAATGTTCTCGCGAGGATTGGCATCCTGTTATGCAAGGGTGCAGCAACTGGGGTTTAGTCTTAGGAGTTTCGGGTTTAGGGGTAAAAGGGGTTAGGGTTTAGGGAACCAAAGGGACAATGCACAGGAACTTTTGAAGACAAACGAATGTGTGCACGATTTGGTGAATGGGCCCCGGGAGGCATCTGAGACCGAAAGCTAAACCCCAAACCCGAAACCCTCAATCCCAGCCCAAAGATCGCAAACAAATGGCGCCCAAGGCTTACTAGAGGTTCAAGTAATCCCGAAACCTTATTACTTATACCATCCTAAACCGGGTTCAAGGTTTAGGGTTTAGGGTATGCTATACCTCAAACCCTTACCCTAAATCCCATGTGGAACGCAGCTGAGGTTGGATGCAGCCAGCTATGGCTCATTTGCTGCTGCTAGTGCCCTTGCTCTCCTCTTCCCGTCGCACCTTCACAGTGAAGTCCCGACTGGATTTGTGAGTAGAGATTCGAATTCTGGAACTTGGACCCTAAATCCTAAACCCGAAGCCCCCAAACCGCCAAAACCCTAATCCCTAAACCTTAAACCAAAGCCCTAAACCCTAAACCCGCGAAGCCCTAAACCCCAAAACTCAAAGAGTTTGGGGATTGGGAGTTTAGGGCTCCGTTCGAAAGCGTCTTAGGTCGAGGTTTGGGGGGTTTAGGACATCGATGAAACCGGTGCCAGTCTCAACACAGCTCCTAGAATTGAAAGGTTTGTGTTGGGATTTATGCCGAAGGAGAGGATTTCTGCTGATCCAGACTTTTCGATGCAGGGTTTCCGGTGCAGAAGAGGTTTGGGGTTTAAGTACGGTTTAGGCTTTGTTGCTTATGGCTCAGGTTTTTGGGGTGAAGTTTCGGCCCCTTTTAGGCTCCTTTCTTCTATACGGGTGCCGTGCTATCTTGGGGACGAAAAAAGGGACCCTCATTTCGAGAGCCACCCAAGGATGTAGAAGCTCCAACAAGACACCTCAAGCCTCCTGAGGCTGAACTTAGGGTTTAAGGTTTAGGGTTTAGGAGGCTTCCGCCCTGCATCCCAAAGCCCTAGGGC